TGACTTATAAACGGGGCAGACACTGATGATGAATTGCAAAAAATATCTAGGACCACTGCTTATGTTGCAAAGGCTTGTGGGCTAGTGGAGTAAAAAAGCTCTTCTACTAAACCAGAATGTTTTGAGTTGTTTTAAAGGTGAAGGTCCGGGAAAAGAATTAAGACGGACCACGATAGTCCACACTAGGATATCGATAGATTAGAAGCTAGAGAGATTTCCCAGAAAGTAGAGTTTATTTGAATGCGATGTGCTCTACAAACCTGTAGAATTTGTTATGGCCGATACAGCAACACGGGATCACAAGACATGATTTCTGCGCCACTTAATAATAAGGGTGCCAAAATTAGAGCTTGAATGTAACTGGTGGTTTCAAAAGCATTTATTCTCTGTGTGAGAGAGAGAGAGAGAGAGAGAGAGAGTGTAAGAAGTCCGTCTCTAGCTCCTCTCTCTGGCTGGAGAACATGCCGTTTCAGCTAATCAAACCATTATTACTGCCCACTAACCGAGAACTCCATTACCATAATGTGCAGTTTCATCTGATTAGTTATGCATGATCCAGATACGCCAACACTGGGCAGAGGCGCACACACACACACACAGAGAGACAGAGAGACAGAGACAGAGACAGAGAGAGAGAGAGAGACCCTGATCTGATAAATAAACATGTGTCTAACATGAAATCTTAAAATTAAACCGCTACAACCACTAAAAACTCATATTTTACACACAAGACTCCTCAGAACATTGTTGCATAAACATGAAGAATTACTGTGATTCAATACAATACTACCACTGTCCGTAGTGGTAGTACATTTATCCATACCGTCTATGGATAAATGTTGTTTATTAATACATATAATAACAGCTTTTTTCCTGCTAGAACTGAACTCGTCTACACCCAATTCACAGAGCCTCTGTTGTTTTTGTCCCGGTGTTCACAGGCAACAAATTATTTCTAGTCTTGGTTTATAAATTACAAACTTATGCAAACATGCGAGTGTTCTCTAATTTCTGAATGGCATCGACTACAAATTTAATATTATACTGTATATATCATCGAGATATGAAATGAGCTATATCGTGATGGAACATTTTGGCCGTATCGCCCAGCCCGATGCTAACGGCATAAAAGAAGTAACTCCACCATGCGATTTTTCTTTACGACCAATCAAAACGTACACGTCGCCATTAAAATGGCACTACTCGTTTTTTCATTTCCGGGAGCGTGAATCTGTCGAGGTACCTTCATACTGGCATTCTGCAGCTTGTGGTATCTTACACAGAATAAACACAGCTGTGGTTGGGGCTTGGGAGACGTTTTTTTTCGCTAAAGAGTCGTGCCATATCCGCCCCAGCAACAGACCGCTAACTAGCTGCCTTTCTGAGAACTATCTGGCTGGATATTTATGTGAATGGAGGGCTGTTTGTTTGGCTGGTTCACTTGAGGACCGCCGGGCCGCCTGAAAGAACTGTAGCTCAGGACAATGACGACGATCTGAGACCGCCACCGGCATGTGCCACGTTAGGTCAATTGGATTTGTTCCATTCTTCACCAAATTAGGCATATTCGGCTATTTTTTCAGAATGACTTAATGGCAGTAATTTTATTTCAAGACGCACAACATTCAAGGAATAAGCTGGCTAAAAAAAAATAGATAAATCACCAGTAACTTGGCAACGGTCGGGTCGGTTGTGCAGCCGCTGTTAACTGCAAGTGGCCAAACTCGGTCTATCAATGGCTCCGCTTACTGCGCTGCCCAACTGCAAATAGGACCGCGAGCTTTCCAAAGGGTTATAATAGAATGAGCAGGCAGCTGGTCCTCTTGGTTAAACAGGAACAGGCTGCTCTTTGACAGGCCTGTCACCAACAGTCAGCGTGGGTCACAGCAAGCCTGGTCTCACTCAAATAAAGAGGACGATCTTATCGGGGATCCTAAAAAAGGTAAGTACCACTCAATTTGAAACATAGACAAGTGTGAGCCTTAATAAAGTTATAAACTTGTGCATGTGGTGGAAAAAAGTCTACTTGGGATACACTGACAAAAAATAAAAACCTACATTATGACGATACAAGTTAAAGTGAATGAACAGTTTTTTCATAGCTCTTTTGGCAATGGATGCAAGCCTACTAATGTAAGATATGCATATCTTTGAAGTCTGATAATATATCTGGCCTGCAGCCCACCCAGCCAGTCGTCTTCTCACCAACACTTTCTGCTTTCTGTTAGCACCAATACTAAGCTGTCAGCGGCACGGAGCCATGCTGAAAGGTAGGGTGTGTCTCTCCAACTAATCAGACGTAAGGTGTCGGCATAAGATAGAGAGAAAAAGGAAGAGCAGAAAACGCAAAAGCAAAGAGGTGAGACGCAGGCGAGAGAAAGGAGGAAGTGACGGAGAGACAGAACGTCAGAGAGACAGAAAATGAAGCTCAGGGTGCATAAAAGACGACCTCCACCTGGACCGGCACAGTTATGAGACAAAAGAGACACAAAACACTGACTTCTTGTTTGATCTTTTTGGCACATAATGTCCCACGTTCTACTGTTCTGTGCTCCTCCGAGCCCATCCCACAGTGTGTACACATCTCAGCCCTTCATGCAGACAAGAACAATGGTCGACCTTTGACTACTTCGCTATGTAGGCCGGTTTATGGTGTTGAACCGAAGACCGGCATCTTTACGCATCTTCTCCACAGGCACCGGCAAAACCTGGGCTGAGAAATGATAAGTCAACCTCTGAAATGTATTGTGTTGGTTAACAATAGCCAAAAAATGACTAAGAATGGCTGGAAATAAATTACAGTTTGCCCCTGCACTATAAGACCACATTTAAAAGTTGAAGAAGTTGCTTTGGGATCTGACGATACTACCAAACTCCCAATTTGCTCCCATGGGATCCCTGCCCTTTGCTACCAGGTGCAGATTATCCCCATTAACCCTGGCACACCTGGGCCTCCCTTGTCTCCATATCCTCTCCTCACTACTTCCCCTCACTTTTTACTATCGGTTCTCTCTCCATGTTCCACACACACACACTTCTGCTGTACACCATGGGGATGGCAGGTTCAGGTGCGCAGCTCGAGTGAACCAGGGCCATTGCCACAGGCAATTTAATCAGCAGCTGAGTCCATCGACTCCTAAAACTCAAGGCTTCTTCAGGGTTTGGAGACGGCGAAAGCAAAGCGGCTCAATCAAGGACTCTCCTCAGCACACCATTTCAGAATTTATGATGTGCATGTAAATAAAAATGGTTACACTGCACGTCAAACTAAATTCATGGAGAGAAACTTTGCTCGGCCTTATTTAGTCGTGTCAAAGTGCCAACAGCACAGCCTCCAATCCGATATCAGAGATGGGTTGTGCCTTAAAATAACTCTTTACTCTAGCTGAGCTAAAAATCCACTGTTGCAAAAATAATCCCTGCTACCACAGCTTTGACATATAATATGTGGTGGTAATAAACATCCTATGGTGTCCCAAATATGTTTTTAAAAGTGCAACACGACGGGCCTAATTCCCAAGATGAGTAGTTGAGCTTCAGCCTCAGACGAGGATTCCCAAACGCATTCAGGTCAATACCAACATGAGGTCAAAGACGTTTTTTGGATGCCCGTCTGCTCGGGTTTTTTGTTCATGCAGATTCCTTCAGAAATGGATACTGCAGAAAAATTATTTATTTTTTAAACGACTACGGTCTAATCTGACAGATTAAAACTGTAAAATTACACAGTATGTCGTGGGTTGGGGTGTGCCCCTGGAGGACCCCCCCCCCCCCAAACCACAGTTTTTGAGGCTGCTGGTTTTGAGATAACCCCAAACTACTGGGTTTCATTCACAATTCCTGAGATCCCATTCAGAACCAACTGTGACTGCTGTAAAAAAAACAGCTACGACTCTCTGCGGTTAAAACAGAGAGAAAAAAGGGAACCAGATAGAGCCGAGGAGAGGAGAGGAGAGATGGAGGCCAGACAAACCGGACAGAGCAGAGGCCCGTGTGATCTCAGCAGCAGGCAGCGAGAGGAACCGACTGCGACCCAAAAAGATGTGGCACACAGGATGGTGGGGGATTACGTCATCGACAGAAAGGAGGACGGCGCATCACAGCGAACCCTCACATTTATGACTTAGCACCACATAGTTAACAGCGCATTTTCGACCATTTACTTTGCAACAAAAAGGAAGCTATTTTTTTTAGGATGCATGGGCGACTAAAAAGCAGGATCTTATCCCGTACACACGGGGCCTCTCGTGTGACATTTCTAGAATGTGACACGTACATGAAAGCACGCTGTAACAAAACGGTGGTTCACCCGAACATTTACCAATGAATGGAAAAACCTTTACATCCATTAAATCCTAAAGGGTCCGTCCTCGCTGTATCTATTTACCGCTGACGATGATAGAAAAGGAACACAATAGCTCAGTCAGTCAACACTTCCACCGAAATCACTCAATAACCACAAATGAATTGCTGTTCGGTTGCACGATGAAAGGAATGTCATCTTTACGCAGCGCTTCCATTGAACGCCAACTGGACTCTGTCATTAAAGGGCTTATTGTGCACTGTGACAGTGAACGGGCTGTTAGCGGTCCCTTTAACTCCAATATAAATACCGCAGACTTAAAAAGAAGCTCGACCGAAGTTACATTAATTCGATAAGACTCACTGCACATCAAAAACTGCGCACACTAGCTTTAAAGTAAGCTGCAAAGATATTGAATGGGCTGAGGAGCAGCTAGCTAAGAAGCGAGCTACAGACAACCCACTGGTTTATTACGGTTAAGGAATAAAATGTGTATAACGGCTCTCTGTGCGTTTATGTGAGGTTTCGCTCCCTCACACACACGTGTGACAACAACACGGGTCATTTGGAGGAGCGTTATCCCGGTGTTATTTCGCAATATTAGCATTTTAGCCAACTTGGATAAAAGTGACAGCGCTAAGCTAGCTAGCTAGCGAGCTAACGTCAGCTGGTGGCCTGCGATTGAGTCTTTTCTTACCGTCATAAACTGCTCCAGGGGCGTCCAGTTTTTAAAGAATATGTTTTTTTTGCCGTATGAGGAAATGTTTTGAGTAGGGGCGACGTAGCCCGAACATCCAAAGATCAGTTCACCCGCTGCCGATGAAACCCGAGCATCATCACCATCACCGTCTTCATCGGTACTCGGAGTCCGGCGCTGCGCTCACACACGTCCATCCAGCAGAGCGGGGCCTCCTCCGGGCTCGACCATGCGACTGGCTCGGCGACGACGGATAATCCACAAGACAGGAGCCCCCGCGGTAACCATTGGCTAGACGCGGCGACTAAGCAGTCATTTCAGGTCGAGAGAATGAAAAATATATCCCCACGCATGCGTAAAAATGAAGGAGATGTGATCGGCGAAACGGTTACGCGTGAAAATCTTTGGACACCGAATCACAAAAATAGGCAAATGTTGCGTTTGAGACTTTCCTAACGTGAGCCTCTCCGTTGTTGTCAGCGTTCCGTGGTCTCTCCGCAGCTGCTTTGCCTGCCTGCCTGCCTTGCAGCACAGCAGCGATCAGCATAGCGACGTAATGGCGCAAACCGAGCACAGAGGGGCGGGGCCACCGAGCGGGAGGCGCGCTGTTTGGTTTTTCTTTTTGAGCACACCCAGGTAGAGTTTCTCCAAAATATAATCTGAAATATAATCCCACATTTAGTTGCTCTGTAACCCGTGAATGAAGAGCACAGTGACAGTTATGTTGCAGCTCGTGAAGAATATTTATGATATATTGCAGAATGTATTTATTACTTAAGATAGTAAGTAAAACTATTACCATATTATTTAGGCAGTTATTTACTAGTGCACATACAGTAGCTGTCATCTGAATAGCAGAAAATGAGGTGCTGTATTGAAAATGCAGTTTGCATATATATTCTGATATGTATTGTGAAATCCTTTTGTGTACCTTGAATATATTTGAACGCTCTATTTTTTTGTGTACAGGTCAAAGACATTGCACAACGATATGTCACACCCCTAAACATATAAAGATATAGAATTTGATTTCTTTTTTTTTTTAAAGACCACCGGAATAAAATATATTAGATTAAATGTTCTCAACTGTCTTTTCTACAGTATTTGCAGATGTCATTCATATTATGGCTGATACTGTTACTTGCACACACACAGACACACACTTGGATTTTATCTTAATTGGAATGTATTTTTAACTTGAATTTCATTTTTTTTTTTTAAGAGCCCTGTCCCTATGGGAGTCTTGATCTCAGCATGACTATCATTGTGTAACTTTTCAAATTAATGTAATAATGAAAGTGACATTCAACCCTTTCTTTCTTGTTCTCATTCACTTCAAGTCCAAGCCTGTCCATTCAAACCAAATGAATGTGCAGCCCTGTCATTCATGAGACACCATAAAGGAAGGAGAGTAACGCGTTGTGAGAGCGGTGATGTGGGCTGTACTGACCTCAAGTGGCTTGAAAAAGAAACAGCCTACAATACAACTAACAATGGGCCATTGTACAGTAACTCTGCTTGGCATACAATGAAGTGAGCAGATGAAGCGGAGTAGTGAGAGCGAGACAATAAGCCCAGTGTTGTTGATATGCATATCACAAAAGCCACTTTATAGTCGGGGAATAGATGGAGGAGACCTAAAGAAACCACTCAGAGCGCTCACCTTTTTAACATTTCTTATCAGCTATGTATTCATTGATGTTTTTTCCCCACTGTGTTGTCAATATAATACTACAAGGGGGTTATTTTGGAAACAAAAAAATATATGTTTAGCTCACATAATGAGCATTTCTTGAAGAAGGGTGCAGGGTGTCAAAGCGCACAATCTGCTGCATAATCGTGGATATGGAACAAATTCTGCATCTTGCTCAAGGGCAGTCTGACTTGCTGTCAGCGAACACTGAACCCAAGCTGTCCTGATTAAGAACAGTCCCTCCACTCCACCAGTTCTGCCGTCTGAGTGCTTTATAAATCCAGATTTTATCTGAACATGTGCCTTTTTGCTGCGATTCCATTGAGCCATTGAAGGAAAACACAGCGGGTTGTAGATTCCACTTAGTGTGTACTTCTACGGCACGGTCTACCTGAGGACAATGATGTAAAAAGTTCCTGTATGTCTGTCTACAAATCTATTAATCATATGCATCTATATTTAGATCAGTCCACAGGGTAAAGATTGGAAATGTAATTAAAACACCATATCTGCACTTTGTTAATATGCAGAAAGACGACCTAAGGGGACTATATGATGGGTTCTGAGCCACAATAAACTGCATATTAAGATTATCGCTAAATAAATTAGTTAGGGTCATGCAAATGATGTGTGGGTAGAGAGCGTTACTCTCCTTAAACGTTATTTGAGACCTGACCTGAGAGGAATACAATATTGCTGATGTTCATTAAAGTGAACACAATTAGATGTTATTCATAAAAGGACAAATAGGTGGCTATAGGTAAATAAACCAGGGAAAGAGCTTTTATATAGATAACAATCCAAAATATTTTCCTGCATAATGGATTTACCTGACTTTCAGTCAGTGGTCCCACACCTGAAGATACTGTACACGAGGTGGTTTGAGATTTCATTCGGCCGAGAGGTTTAACACTTAAAAAATGGCAAAACCTTATGTTTGAAAATTTGGGCCCATGCTGAAGATCTGCAGTAACAAACCTCTGGTGTTGCATGATCATTATCCTGTACGGCTGTGCGCCCCTTTCCATCTTTAATAGCCTATCAACAGATTCTACGGGGAGAACAAGTGCAAGGTTTCAAAAAATAGCTGTGGCTGGAAACAATGTGCCCGTCACTCCGGATAAATCACCAAGGTCCAACATTTATGCATAATCGAGTAACCGGAACATTGTTTGTTAATTTTAAGTGCTGTGATTAAATGACACAATTCCATTCACCCTGCTTGTAATGATATTGTCAAATAAAACCAAACAGCTCTATGCATGGCTAGATACCAATAAATATATGTATGGAAAGATTTTGCCATTTGGGTGACCCGACCTGTTAAACAAAGTGTTTTGCAACGCTGATCATTCCGAACAGGTTCTAATTGTCCCTGATGGGGCATCTTATTCTGCGAGACAAAGACTGGTCACTCACTTCTACTCAACAACATATATTTTATCACATACTCCGAAATAGGTTTCAAAAATGTTTATTTTTTTTACATTGAGAAATCAACTAAATCATGTCTTTAGTTGGATAAATAAGTCACCAGTCATGCTGGTCACTAAATCTAAGTCTTGTCATTTGTATTGTTCTACTTCAGGATTCATAAAACGCACAAAATAGCATTCAGCACACGTAGGATGACATAAGAAATTCTTATGGCCAGGATTTTTTGCTTCAAAACAAAGCTCAGGAACACTTCTACTCTGCTATCTTTTAACAGTCTTCTCAGTGATAAACTTCAGGTGACTTCCTCCCACTTCTTCTCAAGCTTTTTCCTCTCTCATCAGAGTGAGGATGCCTTCCCTCCTGGATGTGTATGATGTGTGTTTCAGCTGAAGGAGGTGAGCGGGAAACAAGTTGCCACTCAGAGCGTACATCTCTTCTCCCTTCTGCCCCATCAGGGAGCGCAGTGTCTTGTTTCTGGACAGAATCTTGTCGTAAAACTCCACCCCTCCTTTGGCGTAATCACGGGACACCCCCGCCGCACGGCGGTCTGAGTTGTAGTCGATCCACTGGCTGACGGCATCCGAGGTGAGGAAGTAGGACACGGCTCCGAGCCCCAGCGCCACAATGTTCACACCGCCGCGAAGCAGCGGAGGCCCTGCGTGGATCCCGAACAACTGCTTCATGAGCACGCTGTACACCCAGACCCCACCCAGACAGACCGGGGCCACAGCCGCACTCATTACAGGTCCTCCGGACTGCAAGCGGGCCGCTTCCCGTGCTATGGCGAACTTCTGCGCATCAAGGGAAAACACTAGGGCCTCCTGTAGAGCCGAGCCGGTATCGCTGCTCCAGTCCACCATTTTGCCGTTGATGAAGATGTTGCGGTTGGAGATTCCGCTCGGGTCCTCGGGCGTGCTGTTAAAGTTCGCTGGGATGCCAATTTGGGCCCCGGTAGAAAGCCAAGGGACACCAGCACCAACCGGATGAAACCCAAAGGAGGCGAAGGCAGAGAAGTTCTTGGGTGAGCTGAAACCACCGTCCTTCAACACCTACAAATGACAACATGGGAATTTGGATTTTATTGTTTTGTGAGTGCTGTGATTTATTGAATTTGACTATTCTTCTGACTTCAGCTATTGGGAAAAGGTTGTGCATCCATACAATGCCAGCAACCCTGATATCATAACCGTTATTGCTAGAATATACAGCTTTTTAACGGTTTACAATCATTTCTAGGTATAATGTCCTTTGGGTCTTTTATCTCATCTGAACCATCTTGCAAGCAAATGTATAAATCTATTTCAGCTAAACCACTGTTATTAAATGTAACCATGGAGGTCGATTGGACAACACTACCTGCTGGAAAACCTCCTCGAGCTTTTCAGACAGCGTGACCGGTTCTCCTTTGGACCAGGCCTGATAGAGCTGACGGTAGGTGACGTCGGGGAAAACGTGGTAAAACATGTTGGCCGCGAAGACCCCGCCGCAGCTCGTCACAAGCAGCGGAGTCCTGTACTTCTGAAGAAGCACGGTGTACTTGAGGAAGCGAGACGCCATGTCACGTCTTTGTTTTTGATTGATTTTGTGTCCGTCGGGCGCCACAGGCTTCAACGGGAGGCATCTGTGAAGGAGGCAGAAAAGGTTAGGTAGAGTGTGTTAAGTGTCTCGCTCAAGGACACTTGAGGCGGGGATTTGAACCTTTGTCGTCCTGTTGAAGGAATCTTCTCTTTAACCACTCGGCCTCTGTAACATCACGCAGTATATCCAGATGGCTTCAGCTAAAAGGTGTACATGACAGTCCCTGGTCATTGTGTTTATTACACAACTTTATTACATTTATTTTGTTATTTATAATTACATTTTACAATAAAATAAAAATTAAATCATTTATATTTTAATAAATACTATTGATAAATAATAAATATGTATAAATAATTGATATATGATAATATTATAATAAACAATACATAATAAATATTTATATTAAAATATTTAATAATAGTTTACATCTATTTTTATACCAATAAATCGCTATCTCTAGACATTTAACGTCGCTAAAAACACCAGAAAACAGCCCTAAAATGCCCCAAAAAGTTCCGTTAACCAGCTCTACTGCTGCAAACTGACACACCGGGTTTATAAAGTTGATTTAGTTTACTCCACATTATCTAACGCTACATTGTAAAGCAACCGTAGCTAACTGACCCGATAATAAGGAAATGCTCCAACCGGTTTAGCGGTTAGCTCACTGAGTGCAAACACATTCGGGCTAAAAACAGGAATTGTCTTTATAGCACAAAAAGACCCATTTAAATAACACTCACATGCTCTCCACGTCCTTGCAAGGACAACTGTAGTTCTTACATGACAGAAAGTCATCGCCTGTCCGTAAAGCGATCAGCTGTCGTCACGGTGCTGCGCGACAGTTTTACGACAGAAGCTTTTGAAGAGCAGCTGTATTCAGAAAGAGAGCATGTTGAATTTAGGAGCATAGAATATTAATACAAATGGCAGCGTTCCTGAGATGTAATAATATAACACAGAAACTAAATAAAGAGCGACTGAGTTGTACAACATGAACCGTACTTAGCCAGGCTAAGAGCTTTCCATTTAAACCACAGATCAATGATGGATGTATGATTGATAAACACTGGAAATATGTCTGCAATGATTTGTTATAGAGCAATAGCAGATTTCACCTGTTAAGATGTCGACCTTCACACATCCTGATGAAATGTATTATAAGTTCACACATCTTTTTCAGAGTTTCAAAGTGTTTTATTGTTTTACTTTATAAAAAAAAACAAAAAAAAACGTGTAATCTTTTTATACACTTACAAAGTTGCATATAAAGGCAGTGTTTATAACAAAAGGCACTTTAACAGCGTGGCAGATAAATGAAAAACTTAACTGTTCAATAGAACAATATGTGACCACCACGGTACCGCTGCCCTGATGGTACCGTAACAAACAAAGAAAAATACAAACACAAAACACAACTAAATTCAAATTTGAGTCACTCCCTGCGACCGTTTGGTTAGGGAGAAAAGGTCCCCGGTGTAGCTTGGTCAGTTCACAATCATGATCATATTTAAGACCACTCGTATTCATGCAGTTTTGCATAACATTCTCAGTTACTGACACTACAGTTTTTAGTACATTTTAAATTGCACACATCTCTGAACATACACATTTCCATCATTAATTGTTCCCAATACCGCTGCAATCTAGGCCTACATGTATATCATTTCCATGTGTACATTCTGTTGTGCCCATGTTGCATATACTGTATTTATCAGCACTGATGACCCCACCTAGAGAAAAAAAAAAACTATATCTCTTGTTTGATAAAAAAAAAATAAAAATAAAAAATAAATAGGAATAAATCTGTTCTCTTTTTACAGATGAATGGCAATTAGCTACAACAAAGGCACTCCAAACATGTGGCAGATAAATGCTAAAAAAAAATGAAGATGTGAACAATCAAAACTTCATTGTTGAACGCAGCAGTATGTGACCACCACGCCACCGCCCTGATGCTACCGTAACAAAGTGCAAGATGAAGAAAAATACAAACACAAAAACAGCAACAAAGCTGCCAAATACGCAACTTGAAAATGGAGCAAAGCCCTGCTACCATGTGGCTGGAAAAGGCCCCAGCACACAAGCGTCATCATTGTTAAGACCATTTGTATTTTTCGAAGTTTTGCGTAACAATTTCAGGTTTTTTTTTTTGTATATTTTACATTGCACAAATCTATAAACATACAATGTATATAACTCAATGTTCCCAGCACTGCTTCATTCTAGACCCACATGTATTTGCAGGTGTACATTCAGGTTGTGTTCAGTTTTCACAATCTTCATTAATTTGACTATCCCTATACTTTTGTGCTTCAGTCGTGATCCCCACAGAGACAAAACAACAAGTTCCCTGGCTTGAGATAAATAAGAAAAACAAATGCAAACATTGAGTGATAGTCTCCTCTTTCTTTTGACAGCTGGGTGGCGAGCAGGTTCCTCACCAAACCGCTTTGATCTGGTGATTGTCCACCGGCCGTGTTAGCATCACGGTGAGATCCGCTGGCAGTATCTTCATTGGGTGGGTATCCCAGGTGTTGATGTACGGGAACAGCCTGTCGGTGAACGTGTGCGTGAAGGTATGAATGAGTGCGTTAGTGTCTCGATCGAGGACGGACAGCGTCCCTCTGTCCCAGTCCAGCTGCACTCTGACCCTCTTAAGGGGTTTCTTCAGTGGGAGGACAGACACTTGGCATGACGGGGAGAACGCAGACAATTTACCTTTACAGAACCTCACCATCCACAACCCAGAGGTGATGTTCCCGGTCTTCTGGGCATCCGGTGCCATGACCCCCAGAGCCCACACGCGGTTGCTCCCGACCTCCACGTCCCAGCAGTGGCTCCCCGAGGTGAAGCCCTCAGAGCCCAGGACGCTGCGGTGGCCCTCTATCCTCTCCGGGGTCGCATCGAGAGGCGGTTGTGGTCTGCACCTCGCCCTGGTCAAACCTTCAGACAGCAGCAGCTCTGGGTGGGCAGTGTCAGGGTTCAGGATCACAGGGGTGTACGACACGATCTGTTTCATCTTGCACCACACGTTGAAGGTCATGTTCCCCAGGTGTTTGGCCACGTCGATCCGGGCCACCGTGACCCGCTCCGGGTCGTCCGGCAGGGGGCGCTCAGCTGCTCTGGTTAAAGCGTTGACGTTAAGGAGGAGTGAGGTGTCGTCATCTCTCAGCCCGTCCTCTATGGTTTTGATGGTGCTTTCCAGGGCGATTACCTCACCGGTCAGACCTGCAATCTTTTCCTTGATCACGTGTCTTTTACGCGTCTCTTCTTCCTTCAGTGCGTGGATCCTGAGCTCTTTTTCCAGATTTAGAAAGTCCTGAAGCACGCTGAACTCTTGTATTATGATCATCTCTGTGCCCCAAGCTTTACTGTGAATGGCATCATCCAATTTTTCCAACTCAAGTTTCACGTCAGTAAAGAGTTTCACTTTCTCCCGTGACTGGCCCACGTATTCCCGCAGATCGTCTCTGTACGACTCCGCGGCTTCGTCCACGGGGGTAAAACGGTGGTTCGTGTGCAGTCTCGAGTCTCTGCAGACGACGCAGACGGGCGCCCGGTGGTCCAGGCAGAAGAGCTTGAGCGGCTCCGCGTGCAGGCGGCACACGAGCCCGGATTCCACCTCCAGCAGAAAGGCCTCGCACAGGTTCTTCAGCACGAGGTTGCGAGGCGGCACTTTGGTGAAAGACACCGTCTTGCAAATTGGACACGGGCGATTCAGTTTCGTCCCCCACCATTTCTGCACGCACACGTTGCAGAAGCTGTGGCTGCAGCGGAGAAGAATCGGGTCTCTGAAGATATCATGGCAAATCGGACAGGAGAGCTCATCCCTGGGCGCAGACCAAGCTGGAGCCATGCTCTTCTTTTTGTCGCTTTTTTCTTTCACTTTTGTATTTTTAAGACTCCGCGTAACACACCGGAAGTTTGCTGCAGTAAACACAACCTCGAGGATATAAAGTGAGGTGAAGTCACGCCCCTTCCGGTGTCCCACGGGATCTTATTTTGATAAAGAATGGCCCAATCCCAATGGCCCCCTTAAGGACTTAAACCCTGAACCCTCAGGGATTTACTGACGTCACCTGGTGAATGGCTGAGTGGGAGAGTGAGGGCCTGAAATAAGAAGGAGACAACATATCACGTTACCATGAAAACGACAAAATGATCTTTGATCCTCTGAGTACATTTTATTTGCCAGGCTGAACACACATGTGTCGTCCTCTTTGTTTACCTTTTTTTTTTTTTACGTCTCCATGCTTCCACTGGTAAAACAGTGTTTAACATCACATTGCTTTGAATTGTGGGTAATTCCCAAGGGCAAAGTCTGCAGAAATGCTGACTTACAGAAAGGGTTCAAAATGTCTGTGTCACGACCTGGCTCTGATAGCCATGACCCAATCAAGGAGCCGTCACAGTCTGCGAGAGAGCCCCCAAAGCACTCGTTGATTTGACAGTGGGACAGCACTAAACCCTCACGGACTTTGCGTGAGCGCGCCTCAATCTCTGTGAGTCCGTGAGTGTGGAGATTGAGATTGGACCAAATACTTTTTTCATCCCGTTTGAACATTGCTGTGAAACACACATATGATGTTTGTCAATTTAAACGATGATCTTGCGACACAAGAAAGTCACAGTTTGTCTTAGATCTGTCGTAGTATCATTCGTTTTGTGTGAAACCGATCAGTGAACTACATCTCTCGTCTCGCACAACTACGTCACCAACACAGCAATTACAGCAGTTGCTAGCTAGCTACCAAACTTTGAACATGTTTTATCAACTGTGTCACGATGGCGGCACAATAAGAAACATTAGGATTAAAAACGCAATCAATATTCATCTGGGTGATTTATGTATCAATGATAATTTATTTCTTACCTGATGTGTTTTAACCTACAGTCTATGGTTTTATCCAACATCTCTTTTTGTCCGCCGGGAAGCGAGTCTTATAATCCCATTGGCTGTCGTGAAAATATGGCAAAACATTGCTGTTTGCCATTTAGTTGATGACATATGTAGCACGAGTTCACCCGACTTTCGACAACTTGAGCTGCTTTGACCTCTGCTGAACCAGTGATATAAAAGTGCTCATCCTGCCATTGATAAATATGTAAATACAGAATAGGTCTACAAAATATTAAACGTCCACCATTTGTGTGTACTTTGCAGTCTCCTTGTGCATTTGTGGAGTCTTCTTTTCAATATAGGCTACCTGTATATTATTATCTGTGCATAGTATAATTCCACTCTATAGTTATTTTATCTCATCTGAAATGACACTCCAAAGCAGCACCTTGCCATACAGAGACAGTGGCCTTGCACTATACACAAGGTGCTATTATTATACATTAGCTATGGTCCCAACTGTTAGTGTTCAGTTTCAGCTTTTCTCCTCTTATCTAGGGGACCTTATGTCATGTCTGCAGTTTCCCTCTGGGATTAATACGTACTCTATTTATCTGTCTTCTTCTTTGTGCTCATGTTTCCTCCTGTAGGTTTATTAGAAAATAAAATGTTGCCCTTGGGAGCATTTCTAATACCTCTCAACATGGCGACAGCTGAGCCGGTGGGTCGCCGCTAACAGCGTTAACAGCACTAAGTGCTGATGGAGCTAACAGTGTTTACCTGAGGGGGAACTGAAGGGTGGGTGCTCTGAGTCCCGTATATTAAGGAGAGGAGAATTACTCTTTGTGACAGTCTTCACTGTAACATTCAGCACCGGAGCATCGATTCTCCACTACAGTCTGAATGCCCAAGAGTTCCCATTAGCTGCAACTGCTTTACATTGATATTGAACAAACTATTTGAAGTAACAGGTTAGTTTCACTTCAAGAAGGACAGGAAGAGGATCTTGCTGCAACTATTCAAAGCTTTGCTCAGTCATGCATTTGTGCTGCATGACGTTTTTCTGCTGTTCCTCTCAACATCATCAGTTTCCTTTCATCCAATGAAATTAATGAAAATAATAAAACCATGACATGTAAACTGTTTATGAGAGCAATAATGCACTCTCCTCGTTTAATCCAGTAAAAAAAAACATGGTAATGGCACAATGCAAGATTTTACTTCTCAATTTTCAAACGTGAGATGCATCAAAACACCCTTTTTTCAGGTCACAGTTGAACAAAGGTTAACTTTCAAGCAGGAAACGCATACTTGACTTTGTTGGCCAAACAGGATTCAGTTGAAGTGAATGAGGGATGGAGTGAACATTTGCGGAGACGGGTGCAAGTGTGAATGTCCTTTTTATCAGGAAATCCAGGATGGAGGGTTGGGATTATTCTTCCCTCCCCTGATGTTCCTGAACAAGGAACTGATCTGAGGAAAGTGTAAAACCAACTGAATATTCTACAAACAAATATCTGAATGTATTATTTTTTAGCTCTGTTTCTAGTGTGGGGGAGTACAACTTTGCAAATTATGTTATGCATTTGTCAATATGTGGCAAATCTCTCCAAGATGAAAAAAATAGTTTAGACTATGCATGGTCTTTATTTATTTTATTTTTTTCATATGTGGAAGCCGGGCAAGAATGTGGCTATACATCAAATTGAATCAAAAATATTCCCTTCTTCTCCCAGTAAACATCAAATAAAATCATACATTTTGTGATAGAGGAGAATAGAAAATAATGAAACCCCTCTTTTTATTGTTGTTTTGTGTATATGTGTTGTCATCAGACATCTTTTGTGGTTTTTGTCTCTTTGGGGTTGTTTTGCCCCTTTTTGTAGTTATTTGTCATCACTTTTCTGTTGTTTTATATGTCTTTGTTGTCATTTTGAGTCTCTTTGTGGTTGTCATACGTCTCTTCAAGTGACATTTTGCAGATGAATGCCGGGTGGGGGGGGAGGTTGACACTTTGGGGCCCTGGGCCTGTGCTTTGAAGGCTCGGTCAGTAGTTCATCCATGAGTATCAATTGGTAGAAAACAAACTGAATTATTCTAACAGAAAAATGAGGAACAAATCAGGTGGAGCTCACCAGAATAACATTAAAGCCGGTCTCCCTCACATCTTTTTCTCGAGCTGCTGCTGTCATCTGTGGGTGTGATGAATACATGGGAACGGTTCATTACAGCCCTATTGGTATTTTATAAGACACTACTGCAATTACTGTGTGTTGTTGCACACATGCATATGTTCAAAGCGCCACGTTTCTCTAGATCAAGTCAAACATGCACGCAATCCCATGCAAATTAGAAAAAAGGGGAAGGGGGCGAGCACGTATATGTGTGGTTGCTGCTGATCTGTAACGATGTATGTTTCCTTTGAGGAGCTCTGAGACGTGCATACATGCCCGTGAGCTGCTGTGAAATTGTAATGGTGTAGCTGAGCTTGGTGCTTATGCACAGGATGCAAATGAATAGTGGAACCAGGTACAAAACAGCTGATTTCAATGTGCTGAATGGCTGCACACATGGTGGTGGTGTCGTGGTAGAGGAGGAAGTGAAAGTTGTGCAGTAACTCATCGACATGGGGCCGTGGATCAACGTTGGTATTCTAATGCCAAATTAGTATGGTGCTGGTTTTGAGCTGGAGGTGTGATGGGGTCGGGTGACCTAACACCCTTTTAAGAGAATGTGTGTACTTGTAGATTACAGCCCAGCAACACATTGAGCACATTAGGAGTGGGTGAACTTTTTTACGTTTTTTTAAACCTACTGACTGTGATCAAGTGATCACTCAGACCCATTTTTGAATGTCAGTGTTTTTATTTAAGGACAGCCATACAGATAAATAGAGAGAGTAAAATAAATATATAGTGAGAGGTATGTCTCACCAAAATAAAACAAAGTAGCACAACACGAGAGCATTTGGAGACAGAAATTACAAAGTAATGGTAATGTGGTTAAAATGACAATAGTGGGAATAATGATACAAAAATCACTGTAACGTATTAACACAATATAGTGTAAAAGTGTAAATTATGATACTGTAGTTTGGGATATGAGATATAGTATGAGGTGAAAGGTATAATATAGTATAACGTATAGTATTGTACAACAGTATAACAAAGAACATCTGCAGGGAAGATAAAAGGCAATAACGCTCCGCCATTGGAATCTGGGATTATACAAATTTGCATTAAAGTAAGTTCGCCTTGTTATCCATTTTAACAAAAATCACATTTTATCCTCTCAAACCCTCATCCTCTGTTCTTTGAGCTCAGTTTACTCTTATCCAACCTGCAGTGTTTCTCTTCATTAAAATACAAATATTAAAAACTGATGCTCATCATTTAACATGCAAAAATATTTATACTTTCATCACAGAAAAAATGAATTCTGCACAATCTGGAAAAGGGAAACTATGCAAGTTAGAGCCTTCCACAGTGAGGACTAGATCCATATGGTCGTCTACATAACACCTGTAGAGTGATGATGCATCACTAATACTACAACCGCGTACATGTAGTGATGCGGCCTATGTAGGACACGCGGTCATTTTAGGGTAAAAAAAAGAACAATTCATCACTTTGCAGTGTATGTGAGTGCACGCATGTGTGTGTGTGCATATGTATTGTGATCAAGTCAGACCGTGTGATTCAAGTGAAGAAACAGCTCACTACTGTTGCCATGGAAACAGGCAAGAGGCAATGGAAGTGTGTGTGTGTGTGTGTGTGTGAAATATGTGTGTTTCTGAAGGGAAAGAGACAGAGAAAACCCCCTATTCTATTCTATTCTATTCCATTCTTAGCTGTAAATCACAAATAAAAATGTGCACAACTACAGGGAGTATTGGGTGCTCATGACAGTCATGTGTCAGAGATATGTCAGTCCTGTGATGGACTGGAAGCATTTTCAAATGTTCCTCTCTGCCTTCCACACAATGCATGCTGGATATAAAGCTACCAAATATTTTAAAAGCTGACCTCTTGCACCGGTACTCTTTGGTCCTTGGCATTTTATCGCGACATGTTGGTGTGTCCATGTGTTGAAGTCAAATGGCGAAATAGTCGGATGTTTTGGAGGGCAGCGTCCTGTACGTAGAGTTCAAGGAGGCTGTTTGCTGCACATTGTTGTGCATTGGATTCAGTGTCAGTGCATCAGTACTGACAAACACACATAAGTCACTGCTGCTTAATAACCCTTGACACTGAATGTCGATTCCACTTTTCAAAGTGGGCATGATGAACACTGTGGGCTTTTTGATGTCCCTTAAGGATTTGTAAGAATGCTACAAATATATTCCTGAGAATAACAATTTTGAAATAATTATTTGGTGTATTATTATTGTGTTTATGGACAGTGGCCCTCCTGTGACTGTAGGTGCAGAGCTGCCAATAGAAAGGCTCACCCTAACTGACCCTGCCCTCCAAACGCCTGCAGCATCTATGAACAAAAATGAGGACTTACACAGGAGACAAAAAAGTAATCAATTCTCAAATTAAGATCCCATCAACTTGTTGTCCAATCCAGTGGAGTGACCTCTCAATGGATGAATAAATCAGTAACCCAGTCAATCAATTCACCACCTCTTGATTGCTTCTTACAAGTCTTCCAAAGCAGAAATCAATATGTTCTTACGTCAAACGGAGCAAGCTTTGGGATCCCAGATGGACGTACAGGAGAAACAAATGAGTCATTGGTGAGTTGTTAAAAACTGTAGCCATCCTGTTTACCTTTGATTTACAATCTCTCCCATACCCATACCTGAAGAATATAGTTAAAAAATGTCAAATTAGATTCTGATAATAATGTCACATTGGCACAGTACAGTAGGGAGCAGGATCTTTACATCTTTAACTGTGTACAGTTAGGTTTAGGCAACAAAGCCTCTTAATTAGATTCAGGAAAACCATCACGAACGTTAGGTTCAGGCAACTAAACTACAACACTTTGAGAAACAGGGTGTTGAACATCGGCCTCATGGTTGAAAGTCCTGTGGTTGCTGGACCCATCCACTTCCCCTCCCATCCCCTCCCCTCCCCTTTGGTGATCCCTTTACTTTTTTGATTTGCTAATTAGCAAATGTTAGTACGCTAATGCGGTTATTTAAGACAGTGAACATGGCAAACAGTTCCATCTTGACATCATCATATTGACAATGTCATTGTGAGTGTTAGTATCCTGACATTAGCCTTTAGCTAAAAGTGCAGAAGTACAACCTCACAGAGTCACCAGCAGCAGCACTACAATACTTCTTTCAAACCATTCAGATAACGAAAACTGTTGAATCGTCATTACGAATAGTGAGGCTATGTGCTAGAGGGATGCTACTGTACTTTTAAGTCAGTCTGAATTGGTGCATGTGCAGCTTTAACTACTGGACAGTACCCTAATCTTTAACACTATTATTGTGGATCAAAATGTAACCTCGTTTATTTGTTTCTGTCTTGCCAAATCTGTTTTTTTGTGTGTGCAAGAGAATCAAGAGAAAGACATGTTAAGGCCACACAAAAAGTATGGAAAGAATTACAGAGTATGGATACATGTGAGTATTTGCTAACGCTATTAAATAAAATAAGGTTTTCCCGGAAATACTGGACAAACCCACAGAGATGAGGGAGCACTTCATCTCCTGTATCACTTACTGTAACGTGAGTTCTAAACGCCTAATGTCTGGATTATTTACAGAGGTAAAACTCATAGCAAGCTCCCTCTTCCGCATTTGAATTGAATTATTCACATCTTTCACTCCCTCTCTCTCACACACACGCACACACTCTCACACACACACACGCGCACACACACGCACGCACCTCTTACCGTTAATGGACTGCTACATCATAAACAGTCTTGCCGGTAATGTGGAAAATGTGTGTGTGTGTGATTTCTTTCTTTCTGAGCATGTGTGCACTTATTAACTACACTAAGTCAAATCTCTCTTTAAATAATATATCAAATCTCATGAGATATCAGCATTCCTTAGCGTTAGCGTTTGCACCCGGCCCTCTCTGGCTTCGAGCTGAAATCCAGAATGTACTCATCATGCTCGCAAACAAAGCTTTCTGGGAAGCAGTTCTTTAGCTACTTGCCAGTGTGACAAATGAATAAGTCAGTCAGAAGGCAGCGTCTGTTTGACTTTGGGACCAGCAGGCCTCGGAGCTGTCGACCTGTTACTGAGTAAGTTATGAAGTAAAAGGAACCTGATTGCTCGGCAGTGATTTATCATCAGCTTTTAATCTGTACAACAATCAATACTTCATGACCTTCTTTATTCCTTCTTCACAGATCTGTTGGAATGCAGCCCGGTACATGCAGATTTACTACTAACCAAAATGTAATTGTAGTCTACAGGATCTACCCTAATCTATTCTCAGTATCACCAAGCCCTTTTGCTCTCAATCATTTTGTATCAAACGCACACACACATACACACACACACACACACACACACACACACACACACACACACACACACACACACACACACACACACCTCCCTTTTTGTTCTTGATTGATCACACACTTATCTGTCTCTTTGACCTCTAGCTAAAACAAACCAAGGGTGCATTGTCATCTTATCCTTATTTCTTAGTTGATTCATTCACTCTATGTTAAGTTAAATGATTGCCTTTTATCTCCCAAAAAACATGTGAAATTCATGTTTTTACACGTAAAATGCTAAAATGACACATATGTGAGAAAAAAAAATGGAGATGTTCTCCTGTAAATAAGACTTGTGTACTCGTTCTCGATTACAAGATGTATCTCACTATGTAAGAGAAAAGAAATCATTACAGCAAGGAAACTTGTAATTATGAGGTATTTTCTCATAATCATGAGTCACAATTACGAGCTATGATTTTGCAACAATGAGATACTTGTGTGAGAGGGTCTCCAATTTATTCGTTCTGATGAAGAATGTGCCTCTCTAAAAGCCACATGTGCTTAACATATGATCTTACTGTATATGTGGGGTTGTCATTTTCACATGCAATTCATTCTACATTTCGTATAAATCGAATGTGTTTATTTCAGATGAATTTAATCACTTCTAAAAGAAGGAAGAATTACTATATAGGCCGACATGGGAATTTTTTAAGACACAAATTTTTTTTTGCATATGATAAACATAAATTTGTATTCATCACATGTGATGAATTCGCATTACCTATCAGCCTTTTTCTTGAACGCCAGACTAGGAAAATCACAGGCGTAAAGTAATGATGGCTGGATTCCATTTAGCTGCTTCAGTTTCAGGGTCCTACTGTGCCTGCTGGATCACTGTCACTCCGACTTAGTGGGACACTCGATTAGAACAGAGCCAGCGTTGATGTTATGTAGTAACACCTGTGCTTTTCCGAATATGACAAGTCAAAATGTCTGTTGTGAAAAACGACCTATTGCGTTCTCACATATTAGTCTTTTTAGTGCATCCTTAAGGCTGCATCCTTGCTTAACTTATCGATTCCTATTCTTGTGATGTCAGGGAATGAAAATGGTTCCATCTATATGAGCATGTATACATTCATGCATGCGATAAACCTACGTCCACATAAATAAAATGGTGTTATTTATGCAAATGAAAGATAACCAGACAAACAGAGACAGAGAACAAAATATTTGATTAAAAATAAATAACGAATAAATATTTGTGTTCATACATGTAAGTATGCGTATGTATGCATGAATATGAAGTAAGGTTTTTTCCCCTCTTTTCTTTCTTGTTCTCTTTTTCTGTTTGTATCACTGAGTGTATAAATATATAATAATTGCAAATACATGTCAGTAGATTGGACATATTGTGGTTGTACTGATTTATGTATTCATTTCAATAAAAGTACGAAACATTTAAACAAAGAAATTAAAGAAAAAAGGTTTTGTTTGAGCTGTGGGGAGGATCACTAAAGAACCACTTAAATTAATTAATAAAATAAGATACAACAGTGAACCAGAGGCACAAATGAAAATGTGACTTCTTCGTATGCTTGATAACCTTCACCTGTTGCTGAGAGTACATTAAAAACGTAAAAAGATTTGTGGGTCTCTTTGTCACTAGTCGTTGCACTTATGGCTCTAATTTATTTGATGAGAGGTTTTAACAGGTTTTGCTCCTAATATAGCAAACAGGAGACAAAAACACCTGAAAAGTATGAAAAATCATAACCTGATTTATGCTATTGCTGATTTAGACATAATGGGTCAATCATTTAATTGGAGATTAATTGTCCACGATTCAACTAATATAAAAAAATATCTTTAATTAATCCGTTTACCTCCTCTTAAATTATATACAGCTAATTTGACAGGACTACCCCTTTAAATAAATCCGCTGTATAAATAAAGGAAGAGTCCATTTCACTTAAAAGGGGAACTCTGTCTGTGCTTCGTGAGATTTTAAAAATGTTCCACAAACAAAATCCACTATGAAGGGAAATGAACACGTTACGTTCAAATCGCTCTCAAACACGGATATCATGTTACACTAAAAACCGACATTTAACGGTTTTGTGTCTTCACACAAAAAACGGCGTTCACCCCTTCGGCGCTTTTCTATTTATAGCATCAGCTGTTGCAATACAAAGATTAGCTATTCAACGTATTGTTTCGCTGATGTGGGCAGCGCTCTCCCGTCTGTGGCGAAAGGGCGGCGGCGGTTTGAAGAAGCCGAGGAAGAGAGAGGGAGATGAGGAGGAATATGTCGGCGTGAGGACGTTTCTTTGTGTCCACGACAGCTAAAAAAACTCATCTTGGTAAGTGGCTTTCCTGCTGACAAGAGAGGGGGAAGAAGAGGTCGTGAATGCGGGCGTCCGTGTTCACGGACAGTGAAGGCAACACCTACCGTGAGTGTAAAACCGACCACTCTCAGTGTATCAACAATTTACTGCAGCCTTTACTACATTGTCACAATGACAGCGCGGTAAACAGTCGAGGGAAGTTAGCTTCGCTTTAATTTAGTAGACCGACGACTGGGTTCAGTTGGCGGAAATTCCTTTTTTTTTTTTTTTTTGCTGCAAACTTCAAGAGAAGGATGAAGCAACCGAAATCCGTTATTTTTCATGGGCGGCTTCTGTCGGTTTTCCACACGGCCGCTCACAAACACACACACACACACACACACACAGACGGGCCCTGCCTGTGTATGTTACAAATGTCCCAAAATACACGGTGCTTGGCTTTTCTTTCGTATGTCAGAAATGCTCACTGAAGCAGACATGGTGTGCAGATTGAACCGCTGGACGGAGAGAACAGAGGGACTCTTCATGTATCAAATCATAGGATGAGATCATTCAGAAGCACCCCAGTCTGCAGAGAGAGAGAGAGAGAGAGAGAGACACACGCACGTTAATCACTATTAATAGCGAAGTGAAATCACCAGATAATTTGGTTGTCTGAAGACAGACACCCCTTTATCCTTCCATCATAACTCAATGGAAATGTCAGTCCCTGCTGCTGCTGAAGCTGCACGTTGCCTGTGAGAGGAGTAATGGTGAGCTGACTTCTGCATGACAATTTCTCCTTAAGTTTAATTGTGACCTTTTGACCAGAAGAAATCACCTTCTTTATGATTAGTAATGTTAGATGCAGGTGTGTGTGTGTGTGTGTGTGTGAGCCATTACAGGTGTACGAGGCCTGGTAATATTCACCTACTTGTTATTAAATATTGATTCCCGTGACATTCAAATTCTCACTTGCATGTATATGAAGTCTAACCTACTGTAGGAGACACCTCAAAGTGAGGCCAAAGCTTGGCCCGTTGTGTAGAGAAGTGGTGATTGTGATTACAAGGTGTTAACCAGAGCATGATCCAGACCTGGATGAGTAGACTTGAGCAACCAAACAGCTGAAATAGACTATTTTGTTTTCAAGTTTCACATGGGGCATGGTGATAATTCAATGTTTCATTGGACTAGTAACGCGATGAAATCGAGAACTTTAACGTCCATTTAGTGTCACTGGTTCACTCATCCACACATCCTGTGTCCTGGTTGAAATGGTCAAATAGCCCCAAACAAAAAATTGTACATTTTTAGAATTAATGAGTGGAAAGTTCAGAGTAGGAAATTCCCCCACAAAATCACAGCCACAGACTGTGGCTAGTTAGTCATTGGTGATGACCCACTCTCATGTGAGCCACTGTAAAGCCCTCCATTAGGCTCTTTGCACTTTGTTCTCTCAGCCAAAAAGGTTGCACAGGGTCTAAAAGATGTGAGCATGACGTCCGTCATCACTGGGGGAAATTTGATGAGGAGGGCAGCTGACTCTGCTCACCTCATTTTCTGAAATAGATCAACAGGAATGACGTCAGTGGACAGTCGGTACACAGCACACTACTTGTTGAAATAGTTGAAAGACGTCTTTTATACAGTTTTATTAGCGAAGCTTACTGTTGCTCAAATGACCATCGGTTTGAAACGCTGTGCAGTAAGAGAGTGGCTCAGCTGTGCAGAGTGCATCTTACTGCACACTGAGTTTGTACCTGTGGGATGTACGCCTTCATCCAGGGAGTCATATTATTTTGTGAGGAAAACATCTTTTAAGTACATTTAATGGAATGCTGGAATAACTACGAGCTGTATGAGTCAGGGATGGGACGATATAGGAAACCACTCACAATAAGTTAATCATGGTGAATTTCCATTATCGGGATAATCGTGAATACGAGTGACTTGAGAAAGCTGTCTAGTTCACTATCATGGTAGAGAAGTGAAGAATGGAAATATAGAAATGATCATGTCAGAAATATGCTTTGTTTACGCACCGGGGCCTTATGATTTATGATCACCTTATTTAAAATTGTTAGATTTTCTTCAACCATATTTTGATCGAATAATATTGTGAATCGCATTAATTTTGGCCGGGATAATCGGATCATCGTATGAGTAATAATATATCAAGGTGCATCTGATTTTTGACCACATTAATAACTAGAATATTGCCAATATTAATGCTGCTGGTAAAGAAGCATTGGGGTCCTTTCAGTATTTGCCCTCAGCTCACAGACAAAGAGTCATTGCTTTTACTCCGGCTGTCCTGGCGACAACAAACTCAAGGGTTTCAGTTTTTAAGAATTGTTTATATTCTGATTAACCAAAATGTAACTGTCCTTTTCTTAAATGGCTCATAAGTCAAAGGTAAAATAAAAAAATGGCTCTCAAACAAAGTTCGACTACAGTTTTGTGAACTCGGCGACCTGTGCCTTAACGCCTCTCTGGAATGATGGATGAGTGTTGATATCGGCGCTACAGTCCAGGCCGGGGTGTGCACCGCTGTGTTCCTCCTGATTCCTGCTCTGTGAGATGTGTTGCTGCTTTGTTCCCGTGTGAAGAGGGAAGTCCCTTCATCCTTTCCCCAAGGCAGCGACTCACCGCTTCTCAAGAGCCCAGAGAGGCTTTATGGAGTCCCGGTGAAGTCCACAACACACCGGCTGCTTCTGTTATTTTACACGTGAAACCACACACCTGTAGAGTGATGCAGGTGTAGTGGTGGCATTGTATAAACTATGTCACTGGTCCTCTAGCTATCACTCTGGATGAGGATAAACTTATTCTTGTGCCACAGCTGTAGAGATTGTGAAAGTGAACCAACATACAAAAGAAGCTTCATATCATTATTTACATGCTTTGCAGTTTGTCGCTGTGCCACACTGCTGCACACCCAGTGTGTGCAACAGGGCATACAATAACTTCATCTGATGTGCTGCAATGTTTCGGTGTGATGGAAAACTAGGTTTCTCTGATTAATAAACATTTCAATACTTTGACCAAAGTTGTGCTTTGCAACCATCGTCTGATTTAGAGTGGGGGTGAGCGGCTTGACCATTTTGACAGACACGGCCAGATAAAGTATTAAATCTCAGTTTGTTGTCTGCTACACTCTCTTATTCCAACCCCGTCTCCTAGAAATCATTGATATATTACTAAATATCTTTTACCATTTACGTATCATCATCATCATCATCATCATCATCATCATCATCATCATCATCAGCTGGGTTATGGATATAAAGTGCAGGACATTGACACCAGTTTCAGGCAACAAAAAAAAAAAGCGTCTTTTGTTTATTGTGTAATCACCTGAAACGAAGACTGGTTGTGTTCCGGTAATTTAGGATGAGCTCTTTATATCTACATGTGGAGCGCGTCCTCGTCACAGACACCGCCACGTTTCCACAGTCGCACAGAACGTACAACTAAATTAAACACTGGCTCTAGATGGGGCCATTCATGTTTTTAGCATAGTTCTTGGCACACGGGAGAAGTTTCAGTCTGTTGCAATCTGCAACCTCACCGCTAGATGTCACTAAATCCTAAACAGAGTCATTTCTGCACTGATGCATTTGGGCCTCAAAGCACTACTCAAAGTCGAGTGATATAAAAATAAATAAATAAGCCGCCGGTTTAGTGTGGATGAAAGGCCAAATCCGAGAGGAAAGGATTTCTATTCATTGGCGTTCGTGTGAACACAGCGAGCGTTGTGTACCGTAAACATGTCCTCATGCAGCCCTGGTTGACCCTCTGAAACATCAGGGTTTGTGAAGCCATACAGCCACATTGAGCAGATGACTAACTTTGGTCGGGCACATAATGACACTTCCTCGACCAAGCTTCCACTCCCAAAGGAATGTGCTTTAAACTTTGGTGTCTGTGGATTATTTTTGTCTCACGAAACAGTGAGCTGTGTTTCAGAGGATTGTGGCCTCCACCAAGTGAGACTCGGGATAAATGCTGACACGCCATACAAGGTTGGGACCTGACTTGGTGTGAGAACCACACCTGGTGGCAGCAACTGTGATTTCATGGGGCTTCTCTTTTTCTGCACAGCACTGAAAAATCCTACTCGGGTGGTGAAATCGTGGCGTAGACATTTACTCTGTGGCTTCACGACAGCCAGCCAGCCGAAGAGGCATTTCAACATCAGGAATTTGTCTCGGAACTTCTGTGCCCAACCCGACTTGCTGGCTGGCTGGCTTGGTTTTTTGGAAAGGAAGGAAACATCTTCCTTCCCTCCATTGTGCTGGGCAGGAAAGGATGGACCGTAGCCAGCTGACAGCTGTTTCCTGGTGGATGAAGAAGGAATGGGTGCGTGGGTGGTGGTGGTGGTGTTGTTGTGGTGCTCGTAGTTTGTGAATGTGCTTTTTTTTTTTTTTTTTTTTTTTTTGACTGCTAGCTGAAGGATTCACAGGAAGATGGAGTAGATTAGTTTGATTTCAGAAATTCCAATTTAAAATGTGTATGAACACTGTGGTTGGTTTGATTTAAATGGTTGCATCAGTGGGTCGCATGTTTTTAACCCATTCACTACAAATCACATGTGCTTAACATTGCCTAACAGAAAGTAGAAGCTAGCTTGAGATATGAAATGTCTTTATTATTTAGGTCTTTTTGTTGTGTGTAGATTTTTAAAGGTACCTGTCTAGTGGCATGCAATCACCACAGTCTTACAAAAGTGTTGAATGCGTTTCCTTCCTCAAAAAAACATTCACAAATCAATTTTTGGAATATTATAAATCATGATTAGTGCACATCCACGTATGCTAGCTTGCAGTCGTCTTGCAGGATAGTGTGTTCTGTGTCGTCCGAGTGCTTGCTCACGTGCTTGTGAAGGCATGCACATGCAGGAGGACGCACGTGCACAAAACGGTGACTCATAAAAACATTGCCCAATAGCACTACTAGGTCAAAAGTCTTTAAGTTCGCTTGATTTGATCGACAGTTAGACTTCAACCTAGATTTTGTTTTGCAGTGGTTAGGACGACTGAATTATTTTCCCACTCATAAGATTTTTTTAATTTTTAATTTTATGGCTTGTAGCAAAACTGTCAATATCACATAGAAGGAGAAATGACAACACAAAGTGTGCGCACACAGTAAAGCAGTGGTGTCCGTTGTGTCGGCTCCACTATATTGTAACATTTTCATCAACTATGTCCTCGCTTCCTCTCCCTCGCTTTTCTGTTTCTTCTGCTCTGTTCTCTTGCTTCCATCCCATGACTCATTCTCACTATAGCTCCCCCTCTTTGTGGTGAGCTTTGGTGTGAGCTTTTTGCAACAACAGCATAAGATTTATACATACAAACACACTAAAGCTCCCATCTCATTGCGCATAGTGATTTGAACTATGCAGTATAACTGTATTAATGTGAGACTCTTATAAAAGGGCAGTCTGATACAAAAAAAAGATGCTGTACAAGCTGTTCCCCTGAGGTGTGAATGCATCTTAATCATTTGCAAATGCTTAAATAGATACATTTGTTATCCTCTACTGTACTTAACTTGTGTTGGGAAAAAAAGAATACTCCCCTCCTTTATTAAACCTCTCATATTTAAGCAAGATGGATGTTTATTTTTGTTTTCAAAAAGCCATAATTACAAGCTACGGTTATCCATCATCTTTCTCTGCTGGTTCTGTGGTTGTGCTGGGTTCCTGAGAGTAGACGTAATTAGTCTGCTCTCAGTGGCTTTAATTAAAACCAATGATGCGAGGACAGCGCAAGTGGTTGTCTGCAATACCTGTTTTATTGTGGCTGCTGCTTCGTTTACTATTCGTCCTTCTGTTTACAACACGTCAGCTGACAAGAAATATCGGTGAGCTAATCTTGATGGCAAATGCAGCTGCATTTCCTGTAGCTGCTTCGCAATAAAAGCCGCTTGTGGTTTTTCCAGTGAAGGCCGCAGGAAATGTTAGCTTAGCATTAGCAACACAATGTCAAAGGTACCAGCATGGTTTACATCCATGTTAACTTGCTAGCAGTCTCCTCCTTCGTCTTTGCTGGTGCATTGCAGCCTCTCTTGATATGTTACTGCCCCATGTAGATAAGTGAAGTAGTGATCAACCATTTGCAGGAACGAGCATCACATCACCCACGTGAGCGAGCGATTAGGACCATAATACCGTAGGTCAGTGTGGTTATCCTTTGCTTTGAGGCCACAATAGAAATGCATACGGTCACAGCTTGGGTTGGGCTAATGCTTGGCTTACAGATGCTGCTGGAATCGTGCAGCATCAGTTCCAATTTAAACAGAAAAAGAAAAATGTTGACTGTCTTATGTCTCAAATCGATTTGCCTTTCTTACTTCATTTGACAGTGTAGATGCAGAGAGAACATTGGACTACCAAGCTATCCAAATTCCTTCTTATTTTTTTAATAATAAATATTTCATGATAACTTAGTCATGATAACCCTCATATTGTGCATGCTGAAGTCCACCTTGCAAAACAAGTCATTGAATCACAAAGCTACCAGTTTAGTAGTCTGGGTGGGCTTTATGTTGCTACTTGCGTTGTCACAGAACTCTGCACGGTTCTGTGGTTTCATATCTGCCCGTTCAGCATAAATACTCGCGTCAATACTGTCGTCCCATAAGATGCAGTTCCTGTAAAAAACTGTTCGACGTTGGCTCCAAGACGGCTAACCGTACTATAGGTCCTGGAAAAGCATCAGCATCTCTGGAAAACAAGTCAATTGTTCCACTTCAACATGTTTTTGCTGAAACTCTTTTCCACTTTATTGTAAAGCCATGTCCAGCTGTCACTCAGCTAGCTGTGTGTGTCTCTCTGGTGGGTGGAACCTAGAATCTGAGTTTCTGTTGCCCAGCTCTGACAACATGTTTTAGATGAGCTTACAGGGTGCTGAACTCTCTCTTCTGGCCCCTCTTTCTCTATTTGTGCACTACCCTTAACAACTCCCTCCCTTGTTCTCTCTCCCTCTCTATTGTCAATCCCTCTTTTCTTTCCATTTCCCCTCTCCAGGTGTGTGTCCTCAGCCACCCTACCTAGCCTTCTTTTCACCTTCACCACCACTGTCGAGGTAGCCATGGCGACCAGCGCCCTGCCAAGTGACAACCTGCCAACGTACAAGCTGGTGGTGGTGGGGGACGGCGGTGTCGGGAAGAGCGCCCTCACCATCCAGTTCTTCCAGAAGATCTTTGTGCCGGACTACGATCCCACGATAGAGGACTCGTACCTCAAACACACGGAGATAGACGGACAGTGGGCCATACTGGATGGTGAGTAGAACTCTCCATGCTTGTCTTATTTTTTATTTATTTTGATCATTTTCTTTTGGTTTCAATTAAACCCGTCCTTCATTGACTAATGAGGGAACATTTGTATTTGTTCTTAAAAGGATGTTTCAGCATTAAGCTACATTCCAGTGGTCGCTGCTTGCTCCACTGAGCAGACTATAAACTAGTTGAAAGAATTAAAGACATTTAGAAAAAGGCACTGTTGCATGTGAGACTTATTCTGCATCATTCTATGATTTTTATCCTTCCATCAATAAAGTTTTCAATTTAGATTGGAAACACATGAAGCTCAGGAAAGAATTTGAAAACAACTTAAAAAAGAATCAGTTCTACAGTTTATGTGAACGCACTTTGTCTTAATTACCTTAACTACTGGCTTCTGCTAAGTGAGTGGTTCTCACACAGTTGTTATGTAAGAGCAGCAGAAAGATGCCTGGGTCACAGTCACAGGTTAACACATCCTGAGTGTCTCTGGGTTAACAAAGTCTGGGTGGAGGTGATCTCTCAAGTCGTGGAGGAAACAAACACTTATTCTGAACATGTTCCTGCAGAAAAATTGCAACATTAACAATGCTTTTGGTTAGGAGGAGTTCAACAATTAATATTAAGAATAAGTGACTCTCTATGTCGGCTTTGAGAGGTCTTAAGTCAGACGTGTGGTAGTGCAACAAGAATTAAAAATGAAATGCCTAATTGCCAATTTGTGACTGCAGGTGAAAAGAACATTTAAAAAACCTAGTCTATATATTTCATTGGAAAAGTAGTCAGATTGTATACTTACTTACTCAGACAAGATATAAAGTACAGTTTGCTCAAAGCCCATGTCGAATACATACATCATCAGGGTGTTTTTAAATGAAAAGGACAGCATGAGAGAAAGTAAGCATGAGAGTGTATCCATAAAGTAATACACTCGTGTCCCTCCAGTGCTGGACACAGCCGGCCAGGAGGAGTTCAGTGCGATGAGGGAGCAGTATATGAGGACAGGAGATGGCTTCCTCATAGTCTTCTCCGTGACGGACAAGGCCAGCTTCGAACATGTGGACCGATTCCATCAACTCATACTACGGGTCAAAGACAGGTAGGTGGGAATGATGAGGCCATTACTACAACTCATGTCTGACCAAACCCAGACAGGTTTTGGTCAGGGCTGAGCGATGGCGTTGTCTTGTTTCAGCATTAGAGTGGTAAAGGATCAGGATCTCGTACGCGCTGGACTCTCCTCGAGCTGCAGAGGAATTTGGCGGACCGTCGGATTTGTTTCTAAAATTCTAATCAGTCGTGTTGTGAAATGTCAGCTGTGAGAGAGGAGACGCATCTGTTCTCTGACAGTAGCCAATAAAACTCAGCTTGAGATGTTACAAAAATAGAAACTGGAACTGAGCAAGTTGCCGTATGTCCATATTTAGTGGTGCTCTACTGTAGCTCATTTTTCTACAAGATTGATGCGTTGCAGAAACCTGACACCTCTCAGACAATTTGTGAAGCATGTAATGTTAAACCTATCGGGTCCTTACAATAGTCTTTAGACCACGAGACGCTTTTAAACACTCTTTGGAACTGCATTATTCAGTTGTACAGAGATACCTGAGGTTGTGCATGTGTGTGTTTGTCCTCTTCTTTTCAGGGAGGCCTTCCCCATGGTGTTGGTGGCTAACAAAGTGGACTTGGTCCATCTGAGAAAGATCACCACTGACCAGGGCCAAGAGATGGCTGCAAAACACAACGTAAGTAGTGAGGTCTACGTGTGCCTGTGTGCACTACAGAGACTAAAGACAATGGAGGCATTCTCTAAGCAACAGTGAGAGGAAAGATCGTTGCTCACAGAGGTGTGTCCTTGTATCTGAAACCATTCAAACAAAAATCACAATAGAACTAAATAAACTTCAAATGGTTAATTCTGTTTCCCCAGCTGAAAAGTAGACTTTTGTCACTTCTGTAGCGAACAAAAAGAACACCTTGATGACACAGACTCACCACTGTGACTACATTAAGCTGTCTAAATACAAACATGTCTCTTTCTAAAACTGCAGCGTCACAGCTAACATCTGGTAAGGAGTGGGACAGACAGCCCAGCTGACCACATCATTAATGACAACAGTTATGCTCTGTGATTGGCTATCTCAGCGGTTATATCAGCAGTTATATCAGCGGTTAAAATGCGTCAGAAATCAACATAAAATCCAGGCTACTGACAAAAGCTCTGCTGTATATTCAGCTATTTTGGCATTTAAAATGAAGAATCACAGTGAGAGTTAGAAACGGTTAAAGGTTGACTACCTAACTTTGCTGTCACATGACCCCTAACCCTTAGGCCTTGTTTAAACTCACCGTGGCGCGAGCCTCCACTGATGGGGCGCGAGCTACGAGGGCGTTTATGCTCAAAGCGCTGTTGGTTGCATTATTCTCCGAAACGCGAGGGAGCGTACAAACAAAAAGTTACCGAAGAAGCAAGAAGACAAAGAGTGAACTCACATCCACAATGTCAAGGAGGAGAACTGGAAACTCAAATATCATGTTGATGGACCTACTTTATCACCTTTATACAAGCCCTGTCAAGAATTCAATGCATTGGAATGAAACAAAGGTTGAATATCCTTTCAATTATTTGATTTGGCTGCAAAATATTTACACAAATGTGGATTTTCTTTTGGCATCCTGCTTATTAAGCATTTTAATCGTTAATCACTTCATCAGTGAGCTATTTGTGACCGTCGTGTCCGAGAAGCCAAGAGCTCCCGGTGACAAAACTCCGAGGTGCACGACTAAGCGGCTCAACAACGACGAGCTGCGGTGACGTGATTTTTGTGGCGGCCGTACTTTTGCGCCGGCTTCATTACAGCGAACATAAACCACACATCACTGAGTTTATGTCACGCTTTTGCAAAAGCTCCATGTATCCGGCTGGTGTTTAAAGATTTCACTCTCTGGAGAGAAAAACATGCGTTTACAAATTGAACTGGCTTAATGGGGGGGGGGGGGGGAGTCCCCTCCGTGAATACTACATGAGCATTGAAACAGGCAAGTAAACAGGGCTGTGCTCGCTGTAATCTGCAAAAAGGATCACTTCCATACAGACTGCACCATGTTGACTGATCTGAGAGCACTTCTACAACCTCCCTGTGATGTCGGATGAGTTTGGTCCAGACGGGATCTCTGTCACAGACGCATGCAGTATTTATTCCAGGGTTATGACATCTTGGGGCTTTTTATGTTGTGCGTTTTTTTTTTTTTTTTTTTTTTTTTTTTTTTTTCTATTTTGGATTCAAGGGCCCCTTTTTTCATTTTTGACATTTTGAAGTGATCATATGCAGCCTGGACAAAGAGTCCAACACTCGGGGCTGTTTCCACACTGACTAGCATCACACTCGGTTGATTCATCGGTCATTTCCACGGCTGCTAGGCATGTGTCAGGGAACATCTGTCTGTCTTTAAAGACGGAGATAAAGAGGTTTTTATTTATTGTAGTGATGCAACCACATTGCGTTTGGAAGCCCTCAGCCAGCCATCAGCAGCGAACAACAACGATGACAAACAATATACAATTATTGTCTGCAGAGTTGTTGATTTAGTGACAGTGGGCAGTTATGTTTTTAATTGGTGTTGTCACGTATACAGGATCCGTCCCCATGCGATTTTCTTCTAGTTTCACCTCATCGGGAACTTTTTTGACCTTTTTTATAGTTTCTTAACCACGTAGCACTTGTATATTTCCATACTTTATACATTATATTCATGTGCGGTTATTTCATATTCCACTCTTATACCATCTATGCTTAATTTGGGAACCTTTCGTTTGTTTCCTCAGATAACTTATATTGAAACCAGTGCCAAGGATCCTCCAATGAATGTGGACAAAGCCTTTCACGAGCTGGTTCGTGTTATAAGGTAACTCAAGGTTGACTTTCATTTAACCTTTTTTTTTTGTAACGTCTTTGCATTTAAAAAAATTATGTGAAGGAGATTTACTTACAGCAACAGCTGTTAAAGTGATTGATTGGCCCTTTTACAAACATAAATACAGTCATAAAACATCTATTAGAGTTGTCTCAACTCTCAAAGTGTGTCACCTCCCCCTTCACTTCTTTCGAGGTTAGTGGCATAGAGAGTGGAAAAGCAAAGCAAAAAAAATCCCAGAGCTATTTCCTGTCTTGACACGTGTCATTTCAGAAGATTTTGATTTGTGTCCATGCTTCGAATGTGGTCACATCCTGTTTTAAGGTCTTCTCTCGCTGCAAGGACCAATAAGCATCCAGCAGACAGTTTGTTTTAAGGCCTTAACTCAGATCCACAGGAACACTGCTGTAAGAAAGGAAATAATCCAGATTAAGTAGAGTTCTTTGCTGTTTTGGTACTTATGGGAAAAAGAGGAGAGTCGATTGATGAATCAACATTGCCCTCTAGTGGTCAGACTGTGGTCATACAGGAGGTGGATCCAGACATAATGGTTGTGCTTTTTTCAGACTGCTGCATCAGCGGTTCAGGCAGAAAGTGTCCATCCTCTTTGTACTGGTGTATGGCTGCTTTGAAAACTCGCATAGAACACGTTTTAATGTAAAATCTCTAAGAGGTGATGCTCTAAGCTTAGTATGACTCACTTGTATGGCTGCCTTTGGGATTTTGATTTGCAGTAGTAGTTGTAAAGAGGAAAAGAATAAAAAAAAAACACAAAACAAAGGAGACAAGCATTGAAGAGTTGGATGAGAAGATCTAAACCACTCTCATGTCTGATGGCAAATGTGAAGCTGGAGCCAGCAGTCAGGACTAATAATCAGGAGGGTCTTATTTCTTTTTTATTTTATCTTTGATATGTGGTTCAGGCCTGATGTTGTTTTTATATTTGATGTTAAAACTTTGGACGTCAGGAATCAAAGCAATTGAGCCGCAATTGAAAAGTCTCCCCCAGCAACCCGCCTCTAGTTTGACCAGACAGCGTCTACGCTCAACACTGAAAGCAGAGCTTTAAACGCTGTACTTTTAGGACTTATTTTCTTCTATAATACTTTTCTTTCATACTTCTGCCAGCAGGACTGCAAAATACAAACGATATTCTTACATTTCTTTCTATGTGTGACTTAAAAAGTCTCAAATTGAACCTGCAGAAACCCTGGTTATGATTATTTTGTATTTATGTATTTCCCTTCTCCATACCCGCAGACAACAGGTGCCAGAGCGAAACCAGAAGAAGAAAAAGAAGATGAAATGGAGAGCAGAGCGTTCGGCAGGTTCCCACAGGTTCCACTGCGCCATCTTGTGACCTCCCTCGTCCTGTTTATCATTCGTTAACATACACACATACGCACACCCACACACCTTTGGATGTCAGGGAACTCCCCAGCGGGGGTTAACTACTGGAGCACAAAAAGGTCCCTGAATGGCTGACAAAGTGAATCTGAAATGTTGGACCGACGTCCCCTCACCCTTCACAATGCCTCTGAGTGAGAGCTGAGCCCTCTCTCCTCAATTTACGGTCCCTTTTCAAACGTCCCTCCCGTCTCTATTCAACACAGAACTACAGCGTCACCATCAACTGTTTCTCACGCAAGTCCATCAATTCTCATTTTAAATGTGGCACCAGACGAGAGACCCTGGGGGGGAAGGAGATCAGAATCACCTTGACATTGGAACTTTTGTCTTCTTGAGAAAAGGGAGGACCCGCCTCAAAAATGGCGCCTCGTTTTTCAGCAACCTGCTGGTCGTCTCCTTTCTGTCCTCGCACTCCTCACAATTTGGGGAATAGAAGAAACCCGTGTGATCTTTTAGAAAATGTTGTGCTGTGTTCTCTCTTTGTAGAGCGGGCATCATAAGGGCGTGGCGGATGACCACGAGAGTGGGCGACAGTGATTTTGGGTAGTGCAAGTAGAAGGTGCTTTGGTTTGGTGGGCGTAGCGTGAACTTCGTGGTCATGTGACGCTCGGGGTTTTGAAATGTCGGAAGGGAAGGGAGGACGTGTCGTGGCAAGCGAGAGAGACGTGGCGCTGAGAAAAGGTGTCGTAACGGTTGACAGGTGAGCGCTGTGGTCATATCAGCTTGTTGAATAAGTGTTTTAAATATAGTAGTTGTAAAGGAGAGTGAGATGTGGTTACACGGTTTTTGCCAACACCGATGTGTCGGCGGCCATGTTTACAGACACTCATAATAACGACGCAGAGCAAGTGTTTGGAAATAATTATGGTTTATTTCGGTTGCCTCCTCAGTCATGGTCAATGGCATGATGAGAGCAGTCTTCACCAGTACTGTATGGACAATAGCCCTGATATATTCTGTCTTTGTAGTCTTAACAGATTGTCTTCAAAACAAGTTACTTTCCATGTTTTTGTTTTTTTAATCTAAAGAAAAGAAATATCAAAACAATTATATTTGTGATATTAAATCTAGTTATAGGTGGCAATGTAAACAAATTCAATGCTGTTTTACAAAAGATCCGTCGGATGAAATACAATAGATGAGGGACAACGAGAGCTTCACGTTTCAGATCTGAAGCCGGCTGGAGAAGCTGATTTGCACTGGCCACTAACCAAAATAATGTGATGTCACTTTATTTCAATCAAGGGGCTTTTTCCGACCGCACCGCTGAATTCAGGACAATGAATCGAGCCCAGCGAAAGAGAGCACTCCGTCAGTCTGGGCATACATACTGTAGCCCTGGGGAGACATCCGAGTTAGACCGCCTGTGTGAACCGGGCAGCGTGACGCTCCTGGGGCTCAAAGCCATGTTAACCTCGCTACAGACGACGTTCAGTTGTAGGAAACACTCGAAGCAACAAGACATTCAGTATATTCACGTCTGTAGTCGGGAGGTAGATAGGAATGTACTTAATAACCTATGAAATGGCTTGTACTGTTAACGCACTAAAGTTTCGGTGGGACAACTTTTTTTTTTTTTTTTTGTCTGGAAGAATACCGTCTCTTGAAGGAATACATTTTTGCACTTTTAATACGATTTCTGACTTTCCTATTGGCATGTTGTTTTCTGTTCAAACCTGGCACGGTCACAAAAAATGATTTGAATGTAAAATCGAATAACGAAAACAAGCAAAGAGGCAATTAGCGTTGTAGCCCTGTGTGCCTGTGTACGCCTGTTGCCTCTGCGACGACTGTGACAGAGATTAAATTAATTAGAATTTAATCATTGGAAAGGTATTGAAAGAAAAGTTCCATGTTACACTCAGTTATTGAATGGTGTACAAATTCACCTCAGCATGAAAGTCGGAAAAAAAAAAAAAATCAACCTCAGCGACAGAAGAGCATCGGTTTGAATCTCCATCTCCTGTTTAAAGGGACGGAGACGTGCTGACCGTTGAGCAACAGACTCTGGATCGAAGGACAGAAAAAAAACTGAATGTGTTTGAAAATGTTGCATCATGTATGTTTGATACCATTTTGTATTATTGATATGATTCTTGCAAAGTGTTTTTTAAACAACTGAATAATTTATTACTGTCTGTTACCTCAGCATGTCCCAGACCTGGACAAAAAGCTAACAACCCCCCCCCCCCCCCCCCCCCCCTTTATTTCCTTCTCTTCTTCATGTCTTTGGGACTCAGAGGCCTTTCGCCTTTGAGCCCCCACATGAAGAGACGTTTAATGTGTCGTGGACCAAGAAGAAGAAAGGGTTTGATCCTCAACGACCTCTTCTCTGCTCGTGTGAACAGCCTCACACGAGGGTCAAAACAAGGAAAGTTTGTCGTCCAATATGTAACTTTTAAATGTTTCTTTGTTCAATGTGAAGTTTCTTAAATGAATAGATGGACGCTTTTTCACTTTGTTGCCGAGCGCTACATCGGTACATTGAAATACTAAGATGGAGCCATGCAGTCGTTATCTTATACCTTTAGTGTAAAGACTGGAAACAATATCAGCCAACCAGCGCCTCTAAAGCTCACTGAACATGTGATATTTAGTTTGGTTAATCTATACAAATGGTGGGTTTATGTGCTGGATTATTTCTTACCTTTGGACAAAGCCAGGCTAGCTGTTTCCAGACTTTCATGCTTCCAGTCTAAATCAACTGGCATACAGGCTATAGCTTCATAGTTAGTGTAGACTAGAGCAGTATCGATCCTCTCATTTAACCTTTTAGTGAGAAAGTGAAGAAGCATATTTCCAAAAAAATGTCACACACAATTCCTTAAAGCAGAGTTTACGTTCCCGGCAGGTGTCCTCTACTTTAACTTTTTGGTTTGAGGTCCAAAACACCGTTTGAAATGAGAAAGTTCCCGTTCCTGGATGAATCCTTGTGGCTGGTACAAAGCAACCTGCTGATGTTTTGCACCGTCTTCACATTTCAGGCAGACCAAACACAAATGCCGAAAGTGAATATGATGTATCAATTATTTGACCCTGGATTACATGTGAGCTAAATTGAGCACTTTTGTTTCATGTATTGGAGACGTAGAATCCTTTTTTTTTTTTTTTCAGATGGACACCAAGTATTGTTGAAGTTATGCAATTGATTTGAGTCTTTTATGTCCTGAAACGTCGTCAGTATGTGGCAGTGAGGGTGAACTTTAGGTTTTAATAACTTTTGGACGAGTCACACCAGTTGTGTAAGGTGTGTTTTTGGACAGGTCTGTTGTGTTTTAACTGCCGGTGTCAGACTGAGGAGCTAGACGAGGCACAAAACAAGCTGTGGCCTTTTTCTATCTAGCCTCAGGGGTCGATTATATTTCAATAAAGAGATACAAGTATTGTGACTTTACGTGTGTCTGCTTTCTTTCTTTATTTGATGGATGGTATGTGCGTATCCGTGGTATTAAAATGCAGAAACTGCTGAACGGCCCGTGATCAAAAGGTGAACATGGCTACACGTGTTCTGAGAGTCGTCTTGCTTGCTCAGCAGAAGCGCCGCTCATTAATCCTCAGAGCCGCCAAGGTCCATTGATTTCAACACCGAGAATGCTGATATCTCTATTTTGCCTCATTGATTTCAACGCCTCGGGGGGGGGGGCCGACATGCACAGAACGGATACTGCATCTCTAATGATTTACATTCATGTTATTTTAAGAGGGAAACAGTCAGGAGAGGTGCTCAACATGAAACCAGGAGAAAGAGGTGCAAGATGGTGGTCAGGGTTATTAAAAAGATGGATGTAATGTCTACCCTCCAGGGGTGAATCGAGGGAAACCATCTGACCGTCTTCAGAACTTAATATTTCATGTAAATCAGCAGAAATATTAAGCAGTGCGATCAGTTCAACGGTTACTTGATCAGGGAGAGTTGCCACATTAGCACAATCGGCAATAATGTGAAGCAGCTGAGGGCCAGCAGAGCGAAACCAGAGTCCTTTTAAAAGACTGCAGCTTCTGAATCAAAAGATGTTCCAGGATGTAGACAGAAACGGAACAAATGGGTTTCTGTGCCATTTGAGGGTCTTACCACTGGGGGTCAGCACTGTGCTGATTACTTATCCTCTCTCATGTACACACGTTTGCACTTTTCATCAAACCAAATAAGAAAAGAAGCAAACACAACAGATTATGCCAAAAATTACCTTTAAAAAAAAAAAAAAAAAAAGCAAATGTCTGCTTAATGCAATGCAATTTTCAGAGAAACAATTTCAATGATCAGTCATTTATCATTTCAAACGAAACAAAATGTTCAGCGGGTCTTCTGCAATAGATTGTTCTTTAAAATACAAACTGCTCGTTTAAATGGAAATAAGCAGAAGGTGGAAAAGGACTTGATCAGAAGTAAGAACTGTGGTGAATGCATTTCGACGGGACGCACAGCTGTTGTTGGAGAACAGACTGACTGACGTGCTTTAGGAAATGAACGGTGATGTTCCCCAGCTGTTTCCGACCGCCACGCGTCGCATCGCCGTTACAGTACGTCATGTGAAATCAGCGGCTCGTGACTCCTACGATCATGCCACAGCTCTCAACCTCTTACAGCGCTTTCAATTACACGGTCCTCAAGAGTAATAATGTGCATTCATCTCACACATGAAGCACACCTCACGTGTTCTTTACAGTCTCTACCTCCACGATGCAGACACCCACTCTTCTCATTTCTTATTACATACCCAGATCAGGTGTCTTTTTAATATATTATTTTATTTCACACCTTGTGCTGTACGTGCTGTTATCTGTCTGAGTCTCACTTTCACGATCTCTTACAAGCTTTTCAGGCGCAGAACCTCGCCACTAAGTGCATCTGTATATGCTCATTTATTAGTCTGCCTTTCTTTTTGATATCATTTCGAGGGAGCTTAGTTTCATATAATTTTAGGGTAATTTAGGACAGCATTCATGCAGCTCAACAGTGGATCCATTAGCCGCTATGCTGAAGTGAGCGTGCATGTGTGATGACCTCACATTTTGAAGTCAACAAAGACGAGTATAAGGTATAAACCTGAGTGAACTTGGACAGACTTGATCTAATGTGCAGTTAATGATGCCTGATTGAAACAGCATTTATATAACTCTACCAATGTAAAACAATCATTTATTTCGTTATCTGGAAACCCCTGGTTTTCTTGGTGTTGCTCCTTTTAATCTATTAAGGATACATTTGTTTTAATCCCTTATAGTGCCGTGCTTCAAAGAACAACGACTAAGTTTCCCCATTTAATTCTTTAATGGAGGTTTTAACCTTTTGTGTGATATGTCTGCACCAACTCATTCTTATCTTGTGCATGCTCATGATAAAATAGACCCAGTTGTTTATGTATTTGCTAGTGGGGACAGCCTTTTATTTTGCGTTATATGTTATGTTCAGCCTTTCATGAGTTTTATAAGTCTGCAAACTTGCAAGCAATCTAAAAAGCACCACCTTGTAAAGTATTTTTACTCCTGTTTGTTCTGTTACTTCATCTTATTGTATTATGAAGAAGGTTCATAACTTACGTTAAGGTTATTATCAGCCAGCAGTATAATTCACATGTAGTTATTTCATGTAATTTCTATCTTCTTATGGATCCCGATAGGAGCAGTGTTGGTTTTTACCCTCCATGTAATGAAATGTATTTCTGGAACACGGTAATGCATTCTGCTCTATATGAGAACAATCATGGTACAGGCTAATCGGTCCGTAAGATACTGGTGGTTCTGAATGCTGATGTTTTTAGTGCCATATCCCTTTGCAGACAGGTGGTGTGAAGCAGCCCAGTCTCTAGGAAAAAGTACTTAAGATGTTTCTGCAAACCATGGATACGTTGAATTTCAAACCAATTCCCTAGAAATGAAACTGGGCCGTTAAGATGCCTTTGAGGGTCAAACGTAAAGTTAAAGGAAGGTTCCATGCCAGAGAAAGCCGGAGGCCAAAGACATGAAAGGAGATTTACACAGTTTTGTCAGGTCTATGTCGCCTTTCACAGCAATCTATTTTGCAACTAATACTGGGCCCATTTTTGTGATTGCAAAATCCTACCACAATGGATTTTTTTGCATTACTGGAAACCAAAAACTAGAGAACAAAACAAATGTGGTGTTATGGAGTAGAAAATAAACAGAGGCAACTGAGGTCTGATGTCCAAAAGACATTCTATTGGTGTTCTAAGAAATTATGTCTTTCATCTGATTTCTGAGAACTGATGCCGTGGTCAGAGGATGTCCTAAATTAGAAACTGTTGCAGACTGGACAGAATGAGCTGCATGTGTTACATGCAGGTGAAAGGTGAAAAAATGTTTCCAATGCAACCCAGTTAACGCTGCTAATGAAAACCAGATGAAAATAAAAACGAATAAACTCAAAAACATATTGTCCTCTTTAAAATATTCAAGAAAAGACCCCAAGTAGAACGACAATTATCCGTTCCCAGACAAACTCCCCCTCCTTGGAAAGAGATAAGAGCATTTTAGAGAGCCATGTCGTCATCTTCCTCTCGCGCGTCTGTCACGTAAAGTCTCTCATTACCTGCAAAGTCACAATTTCAATTTTTGGAGTATTACTTTCATATGAATTAATATATTAACCGTGGCTTCATCATTTGACTTGACCTCAATTTTCTCATAAGGAAAGTCATTTTATGTGGGAAAACTCATGATGATGGGATTCTTAATTAGGGTATTTATTGTGTTTAAAGGAAGTCTTTTGACAGTCTGAAGTATCCAGGTATTGTTTTAAAATTCAAAGCACATCCTTCGTTCTGTCACAGGTTTTCCTGCAGCTATCCCGGTACGTCCTGGTAGCAGAGTAAATGCTTTTTTTTATTACGTTTAAGTCCCTGTCTGGAATATTTGTGTTCTGGGTTCGAAAGATAATGGCACTTGCAAAAACCCATGATGAGAGAGAGGAGGAGGAGCTCACACCAGTGTTGGAGAGGTGCTGCCAGCAATGACAGCACATGTGTGAGGGAAGATAGTCGCACAATCACAGCCACGATTCAAAAAAATTATTTAATAATTGACCAATGTTTCGATACAACAGTCTTTTTCAGGGTATTGGACTTGCAAGACACCCAAAAAACGACATTAAAACTCACTCTCATGCAGACAACTCAATTTTCCTCCCACACAATAGGATACTGATGTAATTTTCGCTGTTT